CAAACGCTTTAATGGAATTAAGACTGAAGCATTTTGAAATAGAATGTATGTGTCATCTATTACTTAAAATTGTATACAATGTAAAAATCATGTTTTACACAATTAAATTTCAGGATGAAATTATAAAGTAGTAAATTCTAGGTAAATACAAAATAAATGCTTGAAAAATGCATAATGGTTAATGAATTCTATTCAAGTTATAAATGACACATATAAACATGAACCTACCTAATACGCGGTTCAGTAAAAATGTGAATTTGCTCACAATAGATGTTTTTTAATATGTACCCTCTTCTATGTTGCATCTATATAGAATCACTGTTACATTATGTGACAAATATTTGGCTACAAATTCAGGACATATAGAATGTTACATATGTATAGCGTACAGTGATTGGTACAAACTCTGTTGTCATGGCAGGATCACCAACAATCATTTAGATGTAGTATTTTATTAATATATCGAATTCATGTTACTCAAATAAAAGTAAATACATTACGAACACATACTTTTCCACATGGCTATAATCGAATATGCGTTTGTAGTGTATATGTAATTATTATGTAGAAGTAATTTTATATTTTCATCTCTTCAACAAACACAAAAACAGACAACTTCTTAAAATCTATAGTAAAGTATTTTCAATTACTGACTTTTTCCCCTTCCATTTTTTATCATTGTTTTCTCTCTCTTAATAGCAGCCTTAAGCAAATAAACATCACAAATTAAGTTTTTTTTACATAAGTTTCTATATTTCTGTATGTCTTAAAAATGTGTATACAGTTCTTAACGTCTTTAAAGTAGTAGATTTTGTGATGAAGTGGCAACATTTTGTGCTGTAGATGTTACATAGCTATACAGTAATTGAGGAAGATGTTGCATAGTTTTCGTATTTTATTCGAAATCTTTAAAACAAATATTTGAAATGCATTATATATATTCTTAAACATCTATTAATTATCTAATATATGTACAAATACATGCAAGAATTTATTAATGCACAAATGGACTGCATGTTACAGAAATTTTTCACATATTTATTAGACAATACAATACAGTACATCGTGAACTCAATGGAATATTCAAGACATTTACTTTCTGACGTTACGTGTGTGTTTGTAGATTGCATAATGACACTCTTATGTAATTAAGAAATATTCTACGTGTTATGCCAATAATCATGCTTGCCAAAAAATGTGATTAAAAATAATGCACTTCAAAAAGTGTTTCAAACGGATTTTTTTCTTCTTTCAATGTGGATAAGAAAATCTAGGCAACATTCTCTGTTGTGTTTTGTATGTAGTGTATCTATCTACTTTATTTACATTCTAAAAATATATAATTCTAAATCCAGTTTTGCAGGTATATGGTTGCAATTTTGTATAACTCTAAGAACACTTATATCGATAGGTGTTTTCACTTAAGTGATTGCGTGAATATGATCGTGTCTTTCTTTGCATTAAACTTAACTGTGACAATAGAATCAACAAGATGGAGATCATAGAGTAACAATACGAAGTATGAAGAAACATAGATCTTTACATGGAAAACATTTATCTTCGAACAGGCTACATTTTCTTTTAGAGCCTGTGACATATACTTTTTTCTCTATTGTAAAATTAGCATCTACCTAAAAGGTAGTGTCAAAACATAAAAAAAAGAAAACAAATATTGAGCGACAATATATTCTTTATGTGACTCGACAATCTCCATTAATATATGCAAAAACAGCTGTATTTCTTTTTGTAATTCACAGAGTTCTATGCTAGGCCTTATTACGATCATATACGATACATCGTACGGCCTACCTTACTGCTTTTTTGCAACATAGTTTCTTTCTTTCCGCAAACATGAATAATTTCATTTAAATGCCTGATATACTCTCCAGGCACTGATACTGAGTGCAACCAGTGTAATGGTGGTGTGAAGAATTCTTCTTCTCGTATCATCTTTCCTTACAAGAAATGTTGGGGAAGATGCTCCCAGAACAGCTAATAGCTCTTCGTGGGGTAATTTACTTGTATCAGTTTCGACTTGATACTGGCAACAAGGATCGAACTGCCATGAAACAGTATAGAGTCCACAAGATATTACAGATATGAAACCTAGCGGACCACAAATATAGGGTCGATCACCCCATAGCATACCTACAAAAAAATATCATAATATATTTTTTGCATACATAATAATATCGATGTTTGCGAAATGTAGATTATATCGTTTATGAACCTGTGGTTATGGCAGCAAGGCCGAACAACGCCGCAGTCTTATGAAGGCAGTTTCCAACTGCTATCCATCTGGAGGTTTCATCGCCTAATTTTGATGGCTCGATAACAATTAAACTGCACTCGGATTCGAGCGCTCTTTCTAACTCATACTCGAACGTTTCATGAGCATTCTCGTTATCGTACACCTCCCTGATGATGGCGACATTCGAGGAATCATCCCTGTAAAAAATTTTAATTTCAGCTTCAATATGTTCCTATCGCTGTTGCGTACAAACATTGTTCATTCGTCCATCCATTAAAAAATTATAACAATCTCATTTTACATTACATATACGCTAACTATAGAATCGTCATACTTATTCTGAAATTACAAAGCATTTGCATATTTATTTTTAGTGACTTGTTCCAACCTGTACAGTCTTTATCACAAATTAACGCTTTTACGTGTTATGTAAGATGTTGATTGAAACTAATCAGCGTCAGGATTGTTTGAATACAAATAGGTTCGCGAGAGAAGAACCAACATTGTTCTTCCCGTTTTAGCGCTCGAGTAGCGCTTTCGTTGAATTATAACGAAAACCGATCGGTAGTGAGTAAATAAGTTTTAATAATCAAAGATTTACGATGCAACTGACAGCAGTTTTGAAAATTTGAAGAAAACACTAAACGCATCGAGAAAGCACCGTTCATTCCCGATAGAGAATTATTTCCAGTCTTGAATCAAGATGAAAATTTGCTGGTTAGCGAAGTTCATAGACATGTAGCAGAGATTGTAAAAGACAATTCCCTCAAACATAATGGAATAAGTGCGAGGTTATTTTATTTCTAAATGAATATTGTACCATCGTTATGAATTGCGCTGTGTACATTGAAGGTAGTTAGAGACATTATATCTCGTATAGAAAGCCGAAAATAATTTCGCCTACGAACCTGTCACCAGCTTCATCTACCATCTTTACAGACAATCCTCCAAACACTGGAACGCAGGTCTGGATGAACCGGAAGAGAAATCCCGAACATCGAACCGGATGCAAATATCAGCTGATTCCACACAGGTTTTCGTATGACTCGAGTTGTACATTGTATTCCAAGTTTGTTCGAATGTTCGTTCGTGCAAAGTCAAGAAACACCTGTACGTATTTGTTTCTCCAGAAATTTCTTTTCAAAGAACGGTCACTCGTTTTTCCAGTGTTTTTATCTTCGGTGCAAATTCTGACAAGTCGATTCGAAAGAGCGTTGCTCCCGTGTACGATTTTACAAACTTTTCACCAGACCGAAGATTGTTTTAATTCAATAACTATTCAGGTATCGTGCATTAACGTTCGTTAAATTAATTGTCATTGCGAAAGACTTGAATCGCGTTCAAGTATTTGAATACCGTGCGATTGAACAACGATTGTCACCGTTCGATGTTTATTAGAACTGTGTCTATTAGAACTACCTTGCGAGAGAAATTCTACCAGATACGAATCGAACATTCCAAAATCTGCAGTCGTCGAGAAAAATCCATTGCATCGCAGGAAACTGTACACCTAATTTCTAAAGAATTCTTTCTTGTTGACGCGTACCAGGTTTCGAACGCGCCGTGCAAAGTGGTTAGAGAAGAGAAGCCAGAGATGTCGCTGGCAAGAAGTTCGTCCTACAAGAACGCAGGACGTTGCGTCTCGTATATCGCGAGAGATCCTTTCATCGCCTAGAATTTCATGCAAGTACCTATTTACATTTTTACACAGCGTGCCCAATGTTACAAATCTGTTCGAAGCCCGAACATTTCGCTCGAAAATGAGCGCGCGCATTTCAAAAATATTTCCACGCACTCGTAAGAATTTCGTATTTAGTTCCTCGTTGGTCGAAGGTGGGAGAAGGTTTAATCATTCGTTTCGAACGATTAAAAAAAACTTGCAAGATTTTGCAAGGGTGGCAGTCGGGTGACAGGTGAGAAGGGTTGGGAAAGAAGAGTAAACGCGAGAACGGCGCGTCGAAATCGGTTGAAATCGTGGCGGCGCTGCGTGCTTCGTTCGTCGGAGAAAGGGACTGGTTGGTGGACGGCGTAGTCTGGAGGCTGGGCGTGCGTGCCGCGGTCGATCGAGCGAGAGCGAGCGCTGCGGACGGCATAGAGGCTGAGTTAAACGAGCCAGATCGCAGATGGACGTCCGCGGGAGCGTTCTGTCATGGAGAGCACGACGCGACGTGTCGTTAAGTGTGCCCGAGTGTCGTCGACGTGCTCGTGCTCGTGGTCGTTGTCGTGGCCGTTGTCGTTCTCGTTGTCGTAGCCGTCGCGTGTGCAGCGTTTCGGGTCGCGTCGTGGGCTTATCGCAGTGACAGTCGACAGAGCGTGAGAGGGATAGATAGAGAAGGGAAGAGAGACAGGCGGATCGTGGTGCTCGTGGTGCTACTATCGATACATCGTGAACCGTGCCAGCCGAATAATTACATCGGAGCCCGCGTCTCTCTCTCTCTGGATCCTGAGGCGGATTCCCGAGGAGAAAGAAAGAGAGAGAGAGAGATAGAGAGAGAAAGAGAAAGAGAGCGAGGAAGAAGGAGAACGGTAGTCCTTCGTCGATCGACCAATCGGACGCACGTGCGTCCGACGTCCGGATTCGTCAAATAATCGATCCGATCGGCGAGATCGGTGCTGCGAGAGCCTGTGACACGTTGATTCACGGGTGCGACCGAGCGTCTTTTTTCTCTCTCTCTCTCTCTGTCTGTCTGTCTGTCTCTGTGTCCTGTGTCGGATGCGATCCGTGCTTTTCGGCGCGTCGCATTCGATCCACGTGTTGTTTGGGACACGGTGCGGCAAAGAGATCGTCGACAAGAAAGCGAGGAGAACAGAGGGGAACGGTACCAGAGGTGGAAGAGAAACGAGGACAGGGAGAGAAGTCACCTGCTGTCGGACAACGGAACGGATCGTTTCGCGTCCGACGGACAGCGGTACACGCGCGTGTTTCCGGTCCGCGTGACACAAACGCATTTGTAAACACGGAGCGGACGCACTCGGTCTCGCGTGCATTACAAAATTCCGTTCGAAAGTGTAAGGCTCGTGTCGCCGTCGTACAGTGTGTGTGTAAACAAAACCCGGGACCGGCGCGGCGCCGCGCGACGTTCGGAGAGTTCGAGTGTGTCTCTACAATATTATCGGACGCAACACGCTCGAGGGGTAATCGGCGACAGAGATCGCGCGGGCCCGATAAATCACGGGATTGATCGGGTGTGACGGAACAAGGAACGACCGGCTCCGAAAGTGTGATCCGCGCGCGGAACGAGAATACGAAATCCTGTTAACTCGATCCGTTAACGTAACGGGCACGGGGAATAGTGGCTGTACGGGAACTGCTCGGTGGCGCGTACACGCACCAACGGTCCGACGGACCGGACGGAATCGCGCGTAAACTGAAAAGCGGTTGTTCGTTCGTCGACGGCGCGACCATAATAATAGCCGGGTGTCGAGGACGAAGCGAGACGAGACGGGACGGGACGGGCTCGTTGTTTCGCGGGGTTAAGGTTGCCGGTTTCCGCGGCGCGGCTCGGCGCGGCGGCGAGGTCACCGAGAGGGGGCTGCGGGCGAGGTGTGCGAAAGAAAGAAAGGGTAGGGGGAGGAAAAGAGGCGAACGATGCTGTCCGGTCGTCGCGGTTAATTCGCACGTGTCGCGATGTCGGCCGGCACGGCGGGCGTCCGTGGCACCGGCGCCGAGTGCAGGAAGTTCGCGCCGAACATATTCAACAAGAGCAAGTGCAGCAGCTGCTTCAAGCAGAAGGAGGAGCACAGCGCGGAGGCTCTGGAATGCAACAGGGTGAGTTTTGCTTGATGGACTCTGCCTTTCTCTCTCTCTTCCGAGCGCGGCGGCTCGAGTGCGTGCGTGCGACTCCGGTTCTCCCTCTCGCTCCAGCGCCGAGCAACGCCGCGTCCCTCCGTCTTTCTCGCGCTCGCGCGGGTCGCGACGCGCACCTATACGCCGCATCCCGTCGCACTCTCGCGCGGGTTGCGTAGCCGGTCCATCGCGACCGGGCATTATTTTCTCTTTGTTGCTCGTCCCTCGAATTCCTTGGCCGCGCTACCCGTGATCGGGACCGGGCTCGCGGGAAGGACGAAGGTCCTGTCGGGGAGGGACACGTCGATGTTATGTAAGACGAGCGTGTTACCGTCGTTACCGGTGAACAGGATTAGTGCACGCATGCGCTCGCGCGCCCGCTCGACGCGGGATCTCACCGATTTACGAACGCGGCAAGGGTCTGCGTGTTCTATCGGAGCAAACCTCGATATCGATTTCTTCGAAATGCCGCGCCTTTCGAACTTTTCGAAATCTTAATATCGAAGCGTTCGAACTTGAGCGCGCTAAACTGGCCAAACTGTGCACACTCGAGATAATTCGAGCGGCGTTGTATTTTATGCTGTTATAATTTTTCACACTCGAATGCAATCGAGAATTGAAAATAACAATGTGAAAGCAAAAAAAAGCAATCGTTTTATTAATATTTATCATTTACATGGGATTGTAAGCTATATATAACACTTACTTATTCAAGTATAAAATATATCCTTTTTCTACTTATCACTTACGACTTATCTCTTCCTTGTGAGCCGCTTTCCGACGGCGTATTCATATTCAGATTCTGATTCGCTCATTTTTCAATATATATTTTACTAAAATATAATGTAAAATAAAATATAATAATAATAATAATAATAACAACAACAACAATAATAATAATAATAGTAATATTCTGAAAATTAGAATTGCAATAAAAATTTTGATTATTTTTGTAATTTTCTTGCCAAGACAACGTTCTAAATTGTGTCTTTTTACATTAAAAAAAATTGATTTTTTTGGCCGGCCTTTTTCAAAAAAACTGTGCATTAAGGTTTTAACATTGGAATAGAAGATAATTTATTATTAGACGTATCGTTTGGATCACAACGGGTACAGCATGTCGGAATGCTGGAATGCTAATCCAATTAAAGGAATTTAGTTTGCGCGCGCAATAGAAGATAGCGATTTTAAAACGATACGATCGACTGATAAGCGTTGGGAGAAGTGCGATGACTAATTGAACGTGGTTTCTGCTTTCTTTCGCCGATAAAATCATCACGGAAGTTTACTTTAGGAAGTTTACTTTCTCTAATAGGTCGTTGAACTTCTCGAGCTGTATAGCTACGGAATCTTCGAAAAAGACGAAAATTCGAGTCCTCGTCGATTGCAAACGTTGAACAGTTCTGATCGATTTACGGCAGGAATGCGACGCCGATAGAAAGAAAGAAAGAAAGAGTCGCGGGCTATTGGTAGTTTATAAATAAGTGCGGCTAAAAATAACGCTTTCACGTTTGGGGGACATAAATACCAACCGAGGAACGGCTTAAGAAAAAAGACCAGGGAGTCTTTGCCGTTTCCTTTCTTCCCCCGTGGTTTTTATTTACAACAGGCCCGGCGAGCAGGCCGATGAGCAAAATTGCCTCGTAAAAGGCAAGGGGGGAGTGTAAAATAAAAACGTTAAAAATCAATTCACGCTGCGCATCGTACGGTACCGTCGAATAGCAGCTCGGAAACGCGTATACGTTAATATCGCGAAACGGTTAATATCGCCGCCGTTTAAAGTCCGTTCGATAAGTAGACGTCGATATTGTTCCCTTTGTTTTCACCGACCCGATCCTCCGCGATCGTACCGTACGTTTCCTTCGGTTTTCTTGCTCCAAAAACGCGACGCTCGCGTCGGGGCTGATTCCACGTTGTATCCGTAGCTCGGCTACGGCGTTATTTCTACAGGCGGAATCGGTATATTTTGCAATTTTCTCGGTAACAAGCGTTTCGCGGATATCCCTCTGGGATAAAGGCCGAGGAATATCGCGACGCGATTACACCGTTATCAATATTTTACTTCTGCGAAGCGCACGCCGGTGCATCATCGGGCCGAGCTCGGGATAAATCGGAAAAGATAAATGCGTCCCGATATATCCGAGGAAGCCAAAGTTTGCGAACATGGACTACGACGCTGTTGTTATTTAAAACGCGACGATTCGATTAATCTCTTCCGAGACTGCCGACACCGCGCAAGCGAACGTTCGACGAGTTCGTTCAATGATTTGCCGTCGAAGGATTGCCGTCGCGATTAAAATAAAATGTCCGAAATCAAGGGTATCAACGCATCCGACGCGACGGTAGGGAAGACGAAGCGAAAGAAAATGAAAATAACGAACGCTCCGTGCTCCGTGTACGGATCGCGAAAGCCAACGCACGATTTCCAAGCGGCTCGGTCCATTATTCTGTCCGACCCTCGTGCTTCCGGTACCGNCGCGCTAAACTGGCCAAACTGTGCACACTCGAGATAATTCGAGCGGCGTTGTATTTTATGCTGTTATAATTTTTCACACTCGAATGCAATCGAGAATTGAAAATAACAATGTGAAAGCAAAAAAAAGCAATCGTTTTATTAATATTTATCATTTACATGGGATTGTAAGCTATATATAACACTTACTTATTCAAGTATAAAATATATCCTTTTTCTACTTATCACTTACGACTTATCTCTTCCTTGTGAGCCGCTTTCCGACGGCGTATTCATATTCAGATTCTGATTCGCTCATTTTTCAATATATATTTTACTAAAATATAATGTAAAATAAAATATAATAATAATAATAATAATAACAACAACAACAATAATAATAATAATAGTAATATTCTGAAAATTAGAATTGCAATAAAAATTTTGATTATTTTTGTAATTTTCTTGCCAAGACAACGTTCTAAATTGTGTCTTTTTACATTAAAAAAAATTGATTTTTTTGGCCGGCCTTTTTCAAAAAAACTGTGCATTAAGGTTTTAACATTGGAATAGAAGATAATTTATTATTAGACGTATCGTTTGGATCACAACGGGTACAGCATGTCGGAATGCTGGAATGCTAATCCAATTAAAGGAATTTAGTTTGCGCGCGCAATAGAAGATAGCGATTTTAAAACGATACGATCGACTGATAAGCGTTGGGAGAAGTGCGATGACTAATTGAACGTGGTTTCTGCTTTCTTTCGCCGATAAAATCATCACGGAAGTTTACTTTAGGAAGTTTACTTTCTCTAATAGGTCGTTGAACTTCTCGAGCTGTATAGCTACGGAATCTTCGAAAAAGACGAAAATTCGAGTCCTCGTCGATTGCAAACGTTGAACAGTTCTGATCGATTTACGGCAGGAATGCGACGCCGATAGAAAGAAAGAAAGAAAGAGTCGCGGGCTATTGGTAGTTTATAAATAAGTGCGGCTAAAAATAACGCTTTCACGTTTGGGGGACATAAATACCAACCGAGGAACGGCTTAAGAAAAAAGACCAGGGAGTCTTTGCCGTTTCCTTTCTTCCCCCGTGGTTTTTATTTACAACAGGCCCGGCGAGCAGGCCGATGAGCAAAATTGCCTCGTAAAAGGCAAGGGGGGAGTGTAAAATAAAAACGTTAAAAATCAATTCACGCTGCGCATCGTACGGTACCGTCGAATAGCAGCTCGGAAACGCGTATACGTTAATATCGCGAAACGGTTAATATCGCCGCCGTTTAAAGTCCGTTCGATAAGTAGACGTCGATATTGTTCCCTTTGTTTTCACCGACCCGATCCTCCGCGATCGTACCGTACGTTTCCTTCGGTTTTCTTGCTCCAAAAACGCGACGCTCGCGTCGGGGCTGATTCCACGTTGTATCCGTAGCTCGGCTACGGCGTTATTTCTACAGGCGGAATCGGTATATTTTGCAATTTTCTCGGTAACAAGCGTTTCGCGGATATCCCTCTGGGATAAAGGCCGAGGAATATCGCGACGCGATTACACCGTTATCAATATTTTACTTCTGCGAAGCGCACGCCGGTGCATCATCGGGCCGAGCTCGGGATAAATCGGAAAAGATAAATGCGTCCCGATATATCCGAGGAAGCCAAAGTTTGCGAACATGGACTACGACGCTGTTGTTATTTAAAACGCGACGATTCGATTAATCTCTTCCGAGACTGCCGACACCGCGCAAGCGAACGTTCGACGAGTTCGTTCAATGATTTGCCGTCGAAGGATTGCCGTCGCGATTAAAATAAAATGTCCGAAATCAAGGGTATCAACGCATCCGACGCGACGGTAGGGAAGACGAAGCGAAAGAAAATGAAAATAACGAACGCTCCGTGCTCCGTGTACGGATCGCGAAAGCCAACGCACGATTTCCAAGCGGCTCGGTCCATTATTCTGTCCGACCCTCGTGCTTCCGGTACCGAAAATCGCCGGTTTCACGATCTCGTTGGCCCGCCGAGCGGTCACGATCCCATAAATCACGTTTTATCGCGGAGGGTTACGAAAACGACCGAAAGTCATATCTCGTCGGTTATTTTCGTTCCGGCGAGGCAGGAGGGGTGAGTTCGCGAGCGCACAATGGGACACGTTCCCCGTGGTTTGCGCCGTTGCAAATTTCGGAATGTCGGCAGCCTTGCGACCTGTTCTCGGTGCATTCCAGCCGTCTTCTCCCAGCACCCCTACAACAGGGCCCTTTCGAGAGTTGTTGGCTTGTCGGCTTTCGCCTGGATGCGGTATCTCTGTATCGGTTTATTCTCCTCCTCCTCCTCTCTCTCTCTCCTCCTCTCCTTCCCTCCGACTCTTCGGCTCTTCACCGCCGTGTCTCCTCTCTCTCTCTCTTTATCGCTCTCCCCGTCTCTCTTCGGCGACGCTGTCCCCCATATAACCGCAAATAACGAATGCATACGCGATCCAACCTTTCCTTGCTCCTCGGTCACACGGTTCTTCGTCTCCCGGCTCGTAATTTGACGAGGA